GGGAATACTTGGTATTATTTCACTTAGTGATTATTCCAAAGTAACTGTTTCTCTCATTATTTGGTCTATTCACTTAGGAAATGGCTCAGAGTTATCCCAAGCTCAGGTTTAACTTGAGAGTGAGCAGGGGACGGCTAGGCACCAAGCTCAGAGTGGAGACGGGGGGGGGGGGGTGGGCATTGATGGGAGGTTTGTGGAAACTGGCATCCAGGTACACCAAGCTGCCCTGGAGACACCTGACACTCAGTGTGGACTCCAGCTGAGGTTCAAGGGCTCAGGAAATATGGTGCTGATCTCAGACCATCGATCTTACTCAGCTTAAATGTCTTTTTCCTTTCCTATTCCTGTGACCACAAGGCACAAAGCTACCTATCTCAGGCAGCCTTGCCTCAGTTAAATGTTCTTTCAATTTGAGGTTCCCTTGTTCAATCACACCCTCATTTCCTTGAGACTAGGGTTATGTGTGAGAGACTAGGAGGAGTCCTTCCAGAAAGCTGGGCATTCTTAGCTTTTTAACATTGTAACAAAAAGTGGGGAAGAATGCTTTTCTGATTCTCAAACACTGAAAAGCTTCATTTCCCAGCTTTTTAAAATAAAAATAAAATAAACTGAGCTATAGTAATACAACGGAACACTACTCATCAATAGAATGAAATGCTTACTGAAACATGCAACACAGATGAATCCCAACCTAATAGTACAGAATGATGCCAAATCAGAAGATTCACTTTAGGATTCCTTTTAAACAAAATCCTCCAAAATGCAAATGCATTCAGACAGAATAGTAGGTATTTTGGATAGCAGGTAGAGGGAACACTAAGCAAGGAAAGGAAAGAATTATAAACAGGCATCAGAAAGTATTAGAGGTAGAGCTATTCATTGTTGTGATTATGGGGGGACTTCAGGTATACGAATATGTCAGAATTCAACAAATGCTCATTTAAAGTAGAAGCAGCTGATCTTCGATTTATTAAACCTCAAAACTGGGGAACACTTTCTGCATTTTCTGTAGCACAGTATTTGTGTTCACAAAGAATTCTGGTTTCATCTGTTTGGTGGTTTGGGGGGTCATACCTGGCTCTGTTCAGTCTGTGCTCAGGGATTACACCTGGCAGGGCTCAGGAGACCCCATATTCAGTGCTGGGAACCAAAACGGTTTTGGCCACGTGCAAGCAGATGTCTCACCCCCTGTACTCTCCCCATATTCAGGCTGTCTGGCGTTATGTTAAGACCAAGGCCGAAGCCCACAAAATATCCAGCTCAGACTCTCCCCGCTGCCTCATCCACCTGATTGGAAGACACTGCAGAGGCGGAGCAGCTGGGAACCCTGGAGCACAGCATGCTGTCACCAATGTACATTGCCAGGCACAAACAGGAAATAAACAAACTTCAGGCTCCTGCTTCGAGCTCAGTGGCAGAGCCCTGTAAGCTCGCTGCTGAGGTCCACCCCTCATGGACATCCCGGTGCTTGCAACCAAGTATGTGTGTGCAAGGACCAGACCGTGATTAGGAGTGTAAGCATCACATCAGGTGTGAAGGCGCTGCAACCAAGTCTGTGCGACCTCCACGCATTCTAATGACAAAAGCCACTAAAAGGAAAAGAGGGGAAGTGGATTTTTAAAATGCAGAAAAGGTACCTGGCTTTCAGGAAGGAAGGGAAGAACTTAAATTGTGCTGACACCAAACTCTCCGAGTTATTATAGCAGTTAGCCTCTTAACTAATTCATTATATATTAATATTAGCACTGCACTGCACTGCACTGTCCTCCCATTGTTCATCAATTTGCTCGAGTGGGCCCAGTAACGTCTCCATTGTAAGACTTGTTGTTACTGTGTTTGGCATATTGAATATGCCATGGGTAGCTTGTCAGGCTTTGCTGTGTGGGCGAGATACTCTTGGTAAGCTGGCCAGGCTCTCCGAGAGGGGTGGAGGAATCAAATTCAGGTCAGCCATGTCGGACGGCCGCATGCAAGGCAAACGCCCTACCTGCTGTGCTATCACTCCAGCCCATATTATAGTATAATATAAAGTACATGAGATAGATATTAATTACATATCATAAATGCAATGTTATACATAGGTCTATCGAAATATTCCTAGTATCATTCCTAATCTTGGTAGCACAACAAAACAAATTGTTAGCTGAAACATAATGAGCCTTTGTTTCTGCTTCTCTGGAAAGGAGGGACACTTTTCTCTTCTTCTCCAGAGTGTAATAAAGAGAGAATAAAAGGTGACTGAAAGCTTTCAGAAAACATGGTTTTGATTTATAATATCATAACTGCTAATACAAGTGCACATATCAGATTTATTTAAGCCATGTCACTGTTTACTTCCAGGGATTCAGATGCCTTTCTTTACTATAAATGTACTCTTAGATCCTGCAAGTTGCTTTGATTCAGAGAGAAATGATCTGAAAGCATTCACTGGAGCAATTCTTTTTCGCACAAAATGAGAGGTGGATGAGATCAGGCACATAAAGTTGCTGTGATAGAATAAGGACAGGGAGAATTAACATTGTCAAAATGGCAATCCTTCCCAAAGCATTATACAGACTCAGTGTTGTCCCTCTATGGATATCCATGACATTTTTCAAAGCAATAGACCAAACACTCCTGAAATTCATATGGAACAATAAACTCCCATGAACAGCCAAAGGGATCCTTGAAAAAAAGAAGATGGGAGGCATTGGCTTTCCCAACTTCAAACTGTACCACCAAAGGGTAGTAACCAAAAGAGCATGGTATTGGAATAAAGACAGGCCTGCAGGCCAATGGAATACAGTTGAATATCCTGACACAGTCCCTCAAATATATGATCATCTGATCTTTGATAAAGGAGAAAGAAATATTAGGTGGAGCCAAAAAAGCCTCTTCAACAAGGGGTGCTGGGAAAGCTGGTAGCTACATGTAAAAAAAATGAACTTAGACCTCTTTCTAATGCCACACACAGAAGTCATATCAAAACAGATTAAATGGATTAGCATCAGACCTGAATCCATACGGTACATGGAAGAAAATGAAGGCAAAACCTTCCACAACACTGAAGCTCAAGGCATCCTCAAAGATGAAACATCACTAACTGAGCAAGTGGAAGCAAGGATAAACAAATGGAACTACATGAAACTAAGAAGCTTCTGCACCTCAAAAAAATGGTGCCTAAGATGCAAAGACAGAACGGGAAAAATTATTTACCCAATACACATTGATAAAGGATTAATATCAAAGTTATGTAAGACACTGGCAGAACTTTACAAGAAAAAAACATCCGACCCATCAAAAGATGGGGAAAGAAAATAAACAGAAACATCCTCAGAGAAGAAATTCAAATGGCCAAAAGGTACATGAAAAAATGCTCTACATCATTAATCATCAGGAAGATGCAAACAAAACAACAATGAGATACCATCTCATGTCACAGACTGGCACACATCCAAAAGAACAAGAACAACCAGTGCTGTCACGGATGCGGGGATAAAGGAACTCCCCTTCATTGTTGGTGGGAATGCCAACTGGGTCCAGCCATTTTAGGAAACAATATGGACATTTCTTTAAAAAAAACTAGGAATTGAGCTCCCATTTGGCCCAACAATACCACTTCTGGGAATACATCCTAGGGATCCAAATACACATAGCAGAAACGTCATCTCCACTTCTATATTCACTTCACTATTCAGCACTATTCACAATAGCTAGAATCTGGAAACAACCCGAGTGCCTGAGAACAAGTGACTAGATAAAAAAAACTATGGTACATCTATACAATGGAATACTATGCAGCTGTTAGGAAAATTGTCACTGTCACTGTCACTATCCTCCCGTTGTTCATCAATTTGCTCAAGCAGGTCCAGTAACATTATGACACTTGTTACTGTGTTTGGCATATCAAATACGTCACGGGTAGCTTCCCCTGCTTTGCCATGTGGGTGAGATACTCTCGGTAGCTTGCCGGGCTCTCTGAGAGGGGCGGACGAATCAAACTCGGATCGGCTGTGTTGGCTGCGAAGTCATGAAATTTGCTTATAAATGGATGGACATGGAGAGTATCATGCTGAATGAAATGAGTCAGAAGGAGAAGGACAGATATAGGATGACTGCATTCATTTGTGTGTATATATATCTATATATTATGATATTATAGATTATATACTAATTATGTTATGAGACTAATAATCAAGGCCAGGGAAAACAGGGGTCAGGATGTGTGGCCAATGGTTACAAGCTTGACACAAGTGTGTCTGGGAGGGAGGGTGTTAGTGAAAGGCAGTTAGGATAGAGAAGAACCAGTGATAATAATTGATGGAAATGACCATTTTGGACAGGACTGAGTGATGAAAGTAGGTAAAGGGATATACCCGATAACCTTTCAGTATCTGTATTGAAAAACCATAAGGCCCAAAAGGAAGAAGGTAGAAGAAAGAGAGAGAGAGAGAGAGAGAGAGAGAGAGAGAGAGAGAGAAATAGAGACAGACAGAGAGAGAAGAAAAGTACCTACCATAGAGGCATTGATGGTGGGAAATGTACACTGGTGAAGGGATGGGTATGGAACATTATATGACTAAAGACTAAAACCCAATCATGAACAACTTTGTAACTGTGTATCTCAGTGATTCATTTAATAAATATTTTTAAAGGGAGCTGTCATTACAATAATAGAGTTGGATATATTCATAATGCAGCCACCCACAGAATGCCACAAATCTAAATGTAAATTCCTAGATAATAGATATAGTTTTAAAAACAATGCTATTCTCTATTCTTTATGTTAGGACTTTTTTTTCCTTTTTGTTTTTTGTTTGTTTGGGGGCCACACTCAGCAGTGCTCAGGGCTTACTCCTGGCTCTTCATTCAGTGATCACTCTTAGCAGGTTCTAGGGACCATATGGGATGCTGGGTTTTGAAGCCAGGTTTGCTGCATGCAAGGCAAGTACCCTAATCATTGTACTGTCTCTCTAGCCCCAATGCTAAGATTTTATTTGCCTTTTCTCATTTTATATATTTTAAATATGGAACGCTTCACAAATTTGTGTGTCATTCTTGCACAGGGCCCATGCTAATTTTTGCCGTATCCTTCCCATTTTAGTATATGTACTGCCAAAGCATGCACTGATATGTTTTTAATCCAAGGTCTAGCCCTGAATCCTACTTCTAAAGGACCACAAGGGAAGTGATGCAAGATAGATACACTGAAAATCCAAACTATCAACCACTGGGAAACGATCCTCAAAGTTCAATGCCAGGAGTGATTTGTGAGTGCAGAGTCAGGACGTAAGCCCTAAGCATCATCGGGTGTGACCCAAGAAAGAAAAATAATATCATCAGACTCATTTTGAGTATTTGAGAGCACCACTTCAAAAATCCTGGTACAGACTCACACATGCTATGCTGAAGAGCTTAAAAAGGGAAATGAAGTGAAAAGCTATTCAATAATCTAGACCCTGTCCTATGTGATCAACTTATGTTCAAAATAACCCAGAAAGCCAAGATGGAATTTTGAATTTGGGGGCTCCTCCCACACAGGCAGATGTGGCCTCTGGCCAGTCCCTTTCTTCTCCCCCTCCACACCTTGCTGCATCTGCATGGAGTAGTCGCATCCCTAAAGACCCCTGTCCATGCCTCCAGGCTCTGTCCCCCAGCCCTGCAAGCCTGGGGCAAGCACACGGTGGCCTGGTCTGCACTTGGGTGTAGAGGTTCAAAGGAGAGTTCAGGCTGCCTTAAAGCAGAGAATTCTGGCATCCTGGGTATGTGCGCTGTGTTCTAGGGTGGGGCGTGAGAACAAGGGAACTTGAGAAACTAGGTGGAAGCCAGGGTCTAAGGGTGGCCTGTGGGAAGGTGTGGGTGACACTGACAGAATGGGGGGGGGGCAGGAAGGGCAGTGGACATACCTGGAAACCTGCACTGGAAGTTTAATTCCCATCTGCCTTTCTCTCTGGCCTGAAGGCAAGTCACAGGGCAATGCCTGATGTCACTGGGGCAGGAATGACATCCTGTTGTGAGTTGGGGCCAACGTCACAGGGGGAGGGAGGTGGAATGTTCTGATCCCAAATAAAAAATAAAAAATAAAAATAAAATTAAAAAAAAAACCCTTCTCTAAGCACTGACACTGAGAATTTCAGGAAAGGAGGTGAAAAAAGTCCAGGAATTGAACATGGAAAATTGATCCCTCCTTCACTGCTCGGCTTCCCAGGTACGGTGAAGATGCCTTGCAAACCAGACTCAGGGCAAGGTGGGGAACTGGCTTGAAAGATGCCTAAGTGGAAAAGGCCCCCACAGTCCCGGCATCCTCTGCGGGGGCGGGCCAAGGGGTGGAGAGGAAGGACAATTACTTGGCAGAGGGAAAGCAATAAATCTCCGGGGATGCATTCCGGCTCCGACTAATAATGTGTTGCTTGAGGCAACCAATTTGTTCAAACAAACCAATCCAGAGAAGGCGGTGGGGGAGACAACTCGGGAAAGTAAGTAAAGCAGACACTAGCTCCCTGCCCTCCCTCCCACCTCTCTTCAGCAGAGCTTTTTCTTCCTCGGTCCAATTCTGCAGCAAAACAGCAGGGACACAAGAGGTTTCTCAGAGCCAGGAGAGAGAGCCCACCCTTCAGTCTACCAGGAGTAAATGAAGACAAAAAACTGCCTTTCTCTTGCATGTGCTTTCCAAAAGCCAGCAAGGGACATACAATGTAAAGTCTTTACAGTTCCACTGAATGGTTTTTCCACATCTTCATTTTATTTTTTTCTGCCTAGATGAAGTCCTACCTATAAAATAAAAGGGCTTCTGAAAAGCGCATTATATTGCTACTCATTATATGCCAGGAGCTCCGTGCACCTACGCTCCTTTGACCTCCAGAGCAAACCTGCCAGCTGAAGTATTATGGTTATTACTTGCATTCTGCAGATGAGGGAATGAAAGGTCATTGAGTAACTTGCAGGATGCCACAGAGTGGGGGAGGAGCAGCTGGTGCTCGCTTGCCCCTGATCTGTCACACTCAGGACACAGGACACGTGACTAAACCCCATTTCCATGTCCTGCCGAGAACATGCAGCTAGCATTATGCTGGAGAAAAGCTCCACACATAGGACACTTTTTTTTGGGTCGGGGGAGTCACACCCGGTGATGCACTGGGGTTACTCCTGGCTCTGCGCTCCGGAATTACCCCTGGAGGTGTTCAGGGGACCATATGGGATGCTGGGAATCGAACCCGGGTCACCCGCGTGCAAGGCAAACATCCTACCCACTGTGCTATTGCTCCAGCCCCCACATAGGACACTTTTATGTGGAAAAGTCAGTAGGGCTGAAATACTGGCACCTGCCCCAAAGCAAAAAGGGCTGTCCCAAAGCCCCAGTATGCGTTAAACAGAGTCCTGGGGTGCAGGTGCATTTAGGTTCATAGTAACATACTGTCCTGTCATTCCCAGAACTGCCCTAAAAGACACAAACAAAAAAGAACTTTTAAGGGGCCAGAGAGATGGTTCAAAGGGCTGACTGCATGCTTTTTGTGTCAAGAGACATGGGGTTTCAGCACACGTTTCCCATCCCGACTGGTTCCTCAAGTCAACATTTTCTTAGTGATCCCTTCTCTATTAATAATGGACCAAACATGATAACCTATCAGTATCTGTATTTGGGCAAACCATAATGCCCAACAGTAGAGAGAGAGTATGGGGAATATTGTCTGCCATGGAGGCAGGGGGAGGGTAGGAAAGGGGAATATAGCGGGGATATTGGTGGTGAGGAATGTGCACTGGCGAAGGGATGGGTGTTTGATCATTGTGTGGTTGTAACCCAAACCTGAAAGATTGTAACTATCTCACGGTGATTCAATAAAATTTAAAAAATAAAATAAAAAATAAAAAAATAAAAAAGACATGGGGTTAGTCCATAGCACCCTCTGGTCCTCCGAGTACTGAGTGAGTGCTGAGCACTGAGGTGAGAGTAGCCCCTGAGGACTACTAGACATGGCCTCAAAGCCACACACAAACAAACCAAAAAAGAGTCTTGGTGAGAACACTGGTCGTTACTAGGGGAAAGAGTGCATGGAACAGGCAAGTGGTAGAGCTCCACTGGTCGTGGGATAGCCCTGGAACCTTACTATTATTATTTCTTTTTTGCTTTTTTGGGTCATACCCGGCAATTCACAGGGGTTACTCCTGGCTCTGCACTCAGGAATCACTCCTGGCGGTGCTAGGGTACCATAAGGGATGCTGGGAATTGTACCCAGGTTGGCTGCGTGCAAGGCAAATGCCCTATCCGCTGTGCTATCATTCCAGCCCCAACCCTGGAAACTTTGTGGTGCCTAAGGTGAGTTCTGTACATATACAGAAGTCTATAGCTATACCCCTAAAATTCTCTTGTTCTGTAAGCCAATGTTAAATCAATACAAAGAGAAAAAGAAATGAGAAAAAAAAAATATATATATATATACTTTAAATAATGCCAGTCAGGTCTTTAAAGAGGAGTGAAGTCAAAGGCATATCTTTAGTAGGTCTCTGCAGTCTGACCGCTTCCACAGAGAGCAGGACTCAGACCCACTGAGAGGGACGGTGTGGGAGAAATCAGAGAGAGGCCCCAAAAGGAGCCAATTCTGGAGGCTGGAGCGATAGTACAGTGGATAGGGCATTTGTCTTGTATGCGGGCGACCCAGGTTCGATTCCCAGCCTCCCATATGGTCCCCTGAGCACCACCAGGAGTAATTCCTGAGTGCAGAGGCAGGAGTAACCCCATGTGCATCGCTGGGTGTGACTCCAAAAGCAATAAATAAATAATTTTTTTTAAAAAAAAGCCAATTCTGCTCAGACATTGGTTCAGGACCTCCGGTTTCCACAACTAAGATTTCAGACATTTCTTTCATCCTAGCAATCCTGTCTGTGGTACTTCACTGTGGCAACCCTAGGTGAGTACAACATGTCAGACTCTGAAAACGTCAACTGTCAGCTTCACAAAAAATCGTTGGAACATTTGCAACTATCTCTGTCACAGTAATCCCTTCTCTGTCCTAACTGTCCTTCTCCCCTGCTCCCGAACTTATGGCCAGCTTCCAACCTTGAACTAACCCTCCTGGAAGGGGCATTTTGTTGATGTTGACAACCCTGTGGAGAATAACTGTGATCTGTGTTTTCAGAGGAACCATAAGGTGGGACAAGAATCTGTTCTTGAGGGGCCAGAGAGATAGTAGAATGGGTAGGGCACTTGCCTTGCATGTGGTTGACCCAGAATTCCCAGATACCCCGAGGATACCCAGGAGTGATCCCTAAATACTGAGAAGTGTGGTCCCCAGACAAACAAATAAAATCTGAATCTGTTCGAGTCCCAGATGTGAATTATACCAGACCTTTCCTCTTCTAGTGGTAGAATCTGTGCATTAAATCCCCGGTTTGAAAAAAGCCCTTAAAATTACATACATAAAAGTGAGATTTTCTAAGCTCCAAAGGGACAATGAGAGGCCTCAAGGGTACCACCAGGTGGATGAGAACAGACCTCTAAGGCAAAGAAGCACCTCAACATGTTTTCCATAAGAAAATGAACTGCATCTTATCCCAAAAGAACTGTGAAGACCCAGACTTGCCTCCCAGGACTCAAGGATCTGGAAGAGATGTCTGACCTATAACACTTTTGGGAGTCAGGAAACTTTTTATAGTCGCATCGTATTAAATGGTCAAGTTTACTTTAAGGGGAAAAAGCAATTCCCTTCCCCCATTCCTGAAAAAAAAAAGGCCTGAAGAGACAAAATCACCAGTGAGAGAAGCAGCAGTTTGGTAGTTGTGTTTGACTGAAAAGGAAGGAACATTTGTGCATTTACTTGTAAACTGTACTTCAATAAAACATAATTGAAAAGAATATTTAAATGTGTTCTTGGGATATTTGTTTTGTTTTTGGCTTTTTTGGGTCACAACCAATGATGCTCAGGGGTTATTCATAGCTTTGCATGGAACTACTTCTTGCAGTTCCATATGGGATGTTGGGGATCGAACACAGGTGGCCATGTTCAAGGCTAATGCTCTACCTGCTGTACCATTGCTTCAGCCCCTAAATTTGTTCTTGGGAAAGTGTAGCTATAATTTTCTTTGAAGTTCGACTTTGCTAAGTGTCTAATAGTTTGCACAAGCTTAAG